TTCGGTGAGGTGTCAGACTGCACCATCAAGATGGACTCAAACACTGGCCGATCCCGAGGCTTTGGTTTCGTTCTCTTCAAAGACTCTGCCAGCGTGGATAAGGTGACCCCCCCCTCGTAACTGAGCATAATTTCATCCCGAACGGGCTCCAGAAGCTTTTATGGGAGAACGGCTCTTAGTAATATAAATGAATCATATGCTAATCAGCCACACTGCCTTGTCTGCATTATTAGTCATCTCTGTGATGATGACTCTAATCTCTGTGCTGTTATTGTCTGTTAATGGTAATATATCTGTATCCACAGGTACTCGAGCAGAAGGAACACAGACTGGATGGACGCAATATCGACCCTAAGAGGGCGATGGCTATGAAGAAGGATCCCGTCAAGAAGATCTTTGTTGGGGGTTTGAACCCAGAAGCAACTGAGGAAACCATCAGGGAATACTTCGGCGCCTTTGGAGAGGTTGGTTTCAAATAAAATGTATTTTAAATATCTGCGGTTAGAATGCAGCAACCACTACATCTCTCTTGTATGTTGAGTCTTCTTGGTTAAGTGTTTCCAGAGTTAAACTTGGGTAGATGGCAGTATTATTTTTATTCTCCTGTACAAACTCTGTGGATATGTTTGAGAGCCACTGACTTGCCCAACTTTGTATACTCATGCAATTCAACACATTATTTACAGTTTTAATCCTGTTCTTACCAGCTAAACTGGTCTAAGCCATAAATTAACCACATGTACATCACCACTGGCCAGTAAACAACAAAGTTGTAGATTAATTTGAGGAAGTCATCCTGTTAAGGATAAATAATAACAGATATTCTGGCACTTGTTTGTGTGTTTGAAGTTTGACTAAATGATGTGGCCGACATTTTTAAAGCAGAGATAATTTACTCCTGAGATTGCCATACTACATGCACCGTATTTGTTGTTTCTGATCAAAATCTTTTCTCCGATCATCTTTTTTTTTTTCAGATCGAAACCATTGAGCTCCCAATTGACCCCAAATCAAAGAAAAGGAGGGGATTCATCTTCATCACATACAAAGAGGAAACCAGCGTAAAGAAGTGTCTGGAGAAGAAATACCACAACATCCAGGGTGGCCGGGTAAGCAGTTATTCCAGAAGTGCTGATGTACAGCTGGAAATCAGCTTAAATTCTTCTAATCAGCTACCTGGTGGACAGTGCAGCCTCACCTGTGATCTGTTTTGGTGAAGAGTGACAAAGATTAAGCCACTACAGATTAACTTGTTGCAAACTGATGTTTGACCAAGTCGGTAGTTAAACCCTGAGTTAATGCTTGAGATGTTTTTGAAATTTACAACTTTGAGTTTTCTCTGTATACACATGGGAAGTGGGTCACTCTTTAATTGCAAATGTTTTTGTAAATATTGCAAGGCGGTTTTAACGTTAGTTTTGTTTTAAAGACCACATAAAGGAGAGAGTGGATTTTTCAGTATGTATATCTCTTTTAGTGTGAGCTGAAAATTGCTCAGCCAAAGGAGGTGTACCAGCAGCAGCAGTACGGAACAGTGCGTGGAGGTGGCTATGGAGGAGGCCGAGGAGGCAGGGGCCGTGGAGGTAAATGACGATGATCACCCTCTTCCTTTCTGGATTTTCTTGTTTGTTTTGAATCTGTATGATCGGGTAAATGCTAAGAGGCTAGGTCACTGTTGACAGCACGTTTTAGTGGTAATGGGTATTAATATGTAATTTGGAACTTCTCGTGTACTTCTCGAGTTGGATGATATTGAAGTTTAGACCAAACTCATGTGCACTTTGTGTTTCAGGTCAGAGCCAGGGCTGGAACCAGGGCTATGGAAACTACTGGAACCAAGGATATGGCAACCAAGGCTATGGCTATGGTGGATATGGCAACTACAGCAACTATGACTACTCTTCTGGTTACTACGGATATGGTCCTGGATACGATTACAGTAAGTGCAAACATGCAGATGAGTTGTAACTTGGAGTAACAGTTAACACATCGAAGCCCAAACCTGAGGTGTACGCGTCAGTACTGATTGTGTGATTGTTTCCCCTTACCCCGCCCCCACTACAGCCACAGTACAAGAGTAAACTGCTTGATGTAGCCATGCCAGTACTTCTAGACCTTTGAGCTGTTCCACTTGCTCTGATAAACTTGCTAACATAACGTTTAAGATGTTCATTTTTCCCTCAGTTATATTTCTGTAGATGCATAAAGTTGGTGCTGCATTAACCCTTTAAGACCTACCATAGAACCAAGTCTGCCAGAGCTTATATTATATTTTTACATGGTGTGGTGCCATTTTTGGGAGCATTTCAAGATTTTAATAATATGTATTCATTAAGTGCATAGTAATTACATAAATTGCAAAAAAGTGCAATAAACTACAAAAAAATTGAAAATCGTTTTTGCTTTTTTAACATATTTCTAGTTAGAGAAATTTAAGAGGCTTATCCCTCAAAACTGTAAATACAAAAAAGTTGCACAAAATAGTTTCCTACCACAGGAAATTTATTTTGAGTGTCTTCATAGTTTTATTTTTGAAATACCCCAATTTTTATACACTGCAGGAAAAACGAAAATGAATATTATACTGCAAATTTGCAAAAAAGCAGCATGTGCAGCAAAATAAACTATTTCCATCGGTGCAATATGAGTCCTAAGCATCCCAGAAACGACACAGAAAGTCATAAAGTCAAAGATAACTTTTAAAAACAGTATAGGCCCTGTGGCCCTGATGGTAAACCCCCCCCCACATTTCTGCGAAAATGACGTCACTTCCGGTTTCGGGCAGGTAGTGGCGGACATGCAAAAGTTCGTGCTGACGTCTATTCCAACATAGGAAGTGTTATGAACAGCTGATCGGATCGGCAAAGCGTGTTTCTGGAATATTATGTTTTTGTTGCTGCAAGTGCTTTTTATGCAGTTTTTGCAAAGCTATATGTGGGAGGAAACTGTGACCTAGGACAAGCTGATGGCATAAGATGTAAGTACATCTCCTCTGGTTTCATATGCAAAAAAAATTATTGCGCTAGCTTACGTGGTTGCAGAGCTACCGGGATTTAAAAATAGTTATGCAAAACAGAGCGTGCCCGCTCTGACCGGCTCTAAAGAGTTAACAACCTAAAATTTGCCAAAACACATCTGGCTCGTGTTTCCTGGTTTGACTCTTGGAGTTTGCCTCGTTCCTGCCACCCATCTTTAGTGTTTAAGACGTCATTGAGTGCCGTGTTTTCTTCTCAAGCCTCTAGAGTGTAGTTTGGGGAGCCGGAGAACTGGGTTCCTGTCCTGCTCTTTACTTAACACTCAAACATCATCTGTCAGATGTTGAGCTCTTGCTTTAATACTGCGTCTCCTTCACAGACCAGGGCAATGCCAGCTATGGAAAAACCCCAAGGCGGGGGGGACACCAGGCCAACTACAAGCCATACTGATGGTCACTTGGCAGTGCAAGGTATGACATTGCTACAACGCAACATGTGCGACTGTGTCTTAGTGCTACGTATTCCAGTTTAAACAGTGGATAGACTGATTAGACCCCCACTCACACCTTGCTGTTGTAATTTCAAGTTCGCATGAGTTCCCCTTTGATTTGACCTGTCACTGTCCCAAACATAGCTGTGGGGTCAGTCCTGGCTTTCACCAAATGGGAAAACATTCCTTTCCAATCGTCACCAGAAATGCCAGGCAGTTGGATTAAATATTGTGTTTTAATAATAGAACACAGGTCCCCAAAATGTTAGATGTTAGGCAGCCACCTGCTGCTGACTGACTGCAGTTAGCATAAATATCATTGTTCAGGATTGTTTTACTGCTGGACACAGATGCCTGCAGACATAACTGATGACTAGTTGCTCTTTTGTTTTTATTTTTGGTTTCTTTTTAATGCAACTCCATTTGAACACCTGGAGGACACATTTACAGTTGGCGCAGTCTCAGCTGAGTATTTGATCACAGTAAACTGGCGAACATGTGGACGTCCTCCTGTAGCCTCAGACTCGTGTTAGTTCCTGCATCTGTTTGGGTCAGAGTCTAACTATTTGTACTTGAGTAAATTGGTTGCCAGGAGCATCTCTGCTGTTGAAAGTGAAATAGAGAGAGCACTTAGATGTTTCACTTGGCACTGAGCTACTAATAGCTGCTGTAAGTGGAGAACAGATTGAAGTTTTCAAGTTAAAATACTCATAGAAAGCTGTCTTTTTAAAAGTTTAATTTCCCTTTGAAAAGATTAGACTTTGAATGGTTTGTTCCAGCTGTGTCATTAATGTGTGTCACCCCTCAGGACTCCAGTGATCCAGTGAGACCGACGGCTGGACGGACACACACTGGGCCAGACTCGACCTCTTTTATGACAGAAGACCATTTGTACAGAAAACACCAGAAATGTAACTTTTTTTCTTTTCTTTTTTTGTTTTTGTTTTTTAAACCCTATCAGTTTTAGTTTTTATTTTTCCCTCGTGTTTTTGTTTTGTTTCCTCGTCCCCTTCCACATTTCCACCGGAAGTGTAATTTTTACTGTACTTTTTGGTACCTGTTTTGATTCTATTGTATTGTAAGGGTTGTATTTTACATGTTTGATGGCTTTACAGGTTGAAAATCTTGGCGCTGTAAAGGAGCTTTTTTGACAAATAAATACAGTTTTCAGTAAATTTTGTTCTGATGCTTCCAGGTTTTGGGGAGGAATATGAAACATTGAGTGGGTTTAGGATTAAAGTTCAAATGTCAAGGATAATGTTGATTATGGAATTCTTTTTTCCCCCCTCCCCCCTCTTTCTTTCCTCTTTGTCCCTCCTTACATGGATTCCAGTGTACCTGAGAAGGATTTTTAACTTGCCAGATTTCATCAGTTGTAAAACACAGGTTAAAAGACTGTTCCAGGCTGTTTGAACCCAACATCTGGAAGCCTGCGGGGTGTGTGGGATGTGCTGGGAGGGGAAATGTTTTGTCACTTTAGATCGTGTTCTTCATACGCCGTTGGTTTTAGAAATGACCGTTTCTGAAGTTAAATGTCTTTTTTTTCTTTTTTTTTTTTTTCTTCTTCTTTTCTTGACGGACTTGAGGGCCAGTGTCGTCGTCTCAGCCAGTGTCTCTGGCATTTATTAGTAATAAACATTCTGGTTTGTAATGATCTTTGTATTTTTAATTCTTAATGTTACTGTTAATGGTCCAAGTCATTAGATAAAACTGTTTCAATAGAAACTGTCCAAAAAGGAAAAGGAAGTTTCCTACTGAACTACAATTGAGCCCCTGCGGTTTTTATTTTTCAGTCATTTGTGAGTGATCCCAGTTTGACCTCAGCATGCCAATTCCAGGGAATCCCGAATCCAAGCGTCTGTGTTCCCTGGATGTCACCTGGACCTCTGTCCGCACCATTATGTGCACGTAGATGCTTCATGTGTTTTGTTTTTTTTAAAAATTCATCACTATTGATGCTTGGTGCATTAGGTGGCATTCTGTGATGATGATGAAGGATGCACACTCGTCAATCTGGGAGTAATTATAATCTGAATTATCGTCTTGCCTGGGGAGTGGTGACCTTGCGTTTCTGCAGTTGTCTCTGTAGTTTGGTGTTGGGGCTTTGAACTGAAATGTGGCTGTGCGCAAACAAAATAAATGCGTTTAACAAAAAAAAAAAAAAAAAATCAGGCCTGTCCCAATGATCGCTCAGATGTGGCTGAAGTTGAAGGAAAAACTGCCACGTTTTGTGGACTCCAGGTAAGAAAAGTAATACCTGACGTTCTCTTTGAAGCCTGAATGAAGAGACTAGAGTGCAAGTACACTACGGTAAAATGACGTCTTCCTTGAGCTGCAACTAAACAACGATGGCAAAGGCAGGGTGGTGCTTTTTGCACTTCAGTTGATAACTCCTTTCCCCCAAAGCTGGTATCTTTTGTCTGTTTGTTTTTCCCGTGTTCATTCTTTGTTATACCTGAAAAAAATGAGCCATAATGAGCGTCTTGCAGGTAATAATTGTAGATAGAATAATAACCACATTTTTATTGGAGACAGCTGGGCAACACCTAGTGCTATCGACTTTATTTTTCTCATCTTTGCTTAAATACCTAAAATGAAACCGTAAAATAAGCACAGTTTACTAAAATCAAATCCTATCCTTTTGGGAAGTATTGTTAATGAAGTTGCTGTTTCCACTAAAAGCCACTAGATGGCGCTGCTGTTAAACTCAGCTCACACCATAGCGTGTTTCTCAGTCACAGGCGAGTTTAGACCCTTTCATCAGAGCACCCTTAATTAATTAGTGTTATTAACACTAATTAATAGTGTTAATAACACCGTATCTTAGTTTATTTTCTGGAATTATCTTTGTTCTCTAAATGGCGTTCAAAACATTAGCTAATGTAGCTTAAATCACCAGAGATTATTAGCTAACCTTCTGTTTCACTAGTCTGCTGGTATATCGGGAGTTGCCAGTCAGGGAGCTGATGTACTTGTATATTATTATAGTTTATTTTAAAGAAAAATCCTTTTCTGGTCGATTTTGTCTTCAGTGTTCGGATTTTGCGAGATGTATAGTCGTGTAACTTTTACAGACAATGTCAACAGTGGAAAGTCCATTTTAGACTTACTCTGGTGTTTTAAGAGCATCTTGATTGTGGATAATTTCAGTTGAATGAAGAACAAAAACAAAGGTTTTCATCTGTAAAACTCCTGAACTGATGGCAAATGAAATTACTTATGTGAAGCGAAAATAAACTCACAGGTACTTTAGCACTTTTTAATTCAAGTTTACAATCACCATTAACCCTGTACTTCATACACCTGTAGATTCAATTACAGGTCTTCTTTTAAACTTCAACTTCAGCAATGGCTGGTAGCACCGGGGCCTTAAATCTTCTGGTCTGTCTGCATGTGATGCGACAACTAGACTTCCAAACATAGACTACACCTGTCTGTCTTTCTTCTGGTCTGTTTGGTGAGGCTGCACCTTCCAATGTCTCTTTGGCTTTATCATCTTTTTCAAAGCCTGTCTTTCCATCCAGGGATGTCTCCCCACTGCTCATATCAAGAGTCCAACTTCTCATGGGGTCCTTACGGCAAATCCTAACCCTGACTAGAGTCTTATGCCCCTCTGAACTGGTGAAAATGGGTTGACGTGCTGAACCATCAGATTGTGAAAGCTGCCTGTTTGTTTTGGTCCCTTCATTGGGCCATCCTCTGCGGACGAGTCGGGCTGCCATGAGGAAGGAGTCAGCCTGGCTGTGCAGCATCTCGGAGCAGTATGACAGCGGCGGCCCGGGCATGGCCGACTTAGTGTCCCGGTCAGAAGGTGCTGGCTTACTGCGGCCTACCATCCTTCTGTTGTTACAAGTCGCCACCTCTATTGCTGTAATACAGAAGGTATAGATGCACCAAAACATTATGAGTAGCCTCTTCCACAAAGACATAAACACTGACTCTCAGCCAAGTGTGACCTCAGCATTCTTTCAGTTTATTCGTAACTTTCTTTGAATTATGTTCACACTGCATGATAATTATGGAGTGAACACATGGGAGACTGAAAAAGACAAAAAAACAACAACCCCACATTAAACAACAAAAGTCATATTTATCACCTCTATTTACGTCCAATATAGATATGTCCAAATATTAGCAATAGTGTCAGAAATCTGACACTCCACAATTCACAAGCTATTTTATAACACTGCCATTAAGTGTCCAGTAAGGTTTTTGTAATTAACTAAAAGTAAACTAAAACTAGATGTGAAAAAACATTTCAGTAAACTTAAATAAAAATAAAAACTAGACTTGAAAAACATTAAAAACAAACTGAAGCAATTTTGTGAACTTGGAAAACTAAACTAATAAAAACTAAACTAAAGCTGTGATTAGACAAATATTTTCAAAGTGATTGGCTGAAAGAATCTTTGTTGGTGCTGAAGGAAACTGCAGATACTTTTTACTCCGTCTCACTTTAACATCACAAAAGGGATGTAGGTATTAATCTGGAGGTAAAAAAAAAAAAAGGGTGCTGGTGGTAGCACAACTTTTCTACTTGTGCAGCATTCAGATGAATCTTAGCTGAAATTTCTCTTCAATCAAAAAGAACATTTGTAGTTAGAAACATTAAAATGCATTGTGGTGCTTGAACTTAAAAGCCATATGGATCCCTTTCCCCCTGTTGAGCAGATATTATGTGGGGTAAAAGCTCTGGTTTGCTGCTGAACTCGGCCACCTTGGAGAGACTGTTTTGTATTGCTGATAAAGAAAAGCCAGTGTTACATTGACAGTGGCTGGTCTGTAACCTGGATTGTGTCCAGGGCTTCTTCCTTCCTTGCTGTTTGCACTGATTGCACTGATATTTGGTCCCTGGTCTTTACTTTTGGAGTTCAGCAGGTTTATCTGCTGTGAACACGATTTCATATTAGTGTCTGCTGAGCAAGCAAATTTTAAAAAACGGTTCTTGTACCAAACTAGCACGGCTCAGAGCATCTCTGTCTGCCAACTCGACCCAGTTAAACATGTTTTTATCTGAACTTGTCTGGCTCTTATCTAGGTTGCATCTTATAGCTTTAATGCAGCTGCTGCTGAAGCAGTTTGTTTTCATTAATTCTCCAAGAGGTGGAGGCAGACGTCTGTAAGAGCAGCTGCAAGTGAGACCATGACAATAACAATGGCACATTGAAGCAGCCTTTCCTAGAATGTGGGGAACTTTACTTGAAGTTGTGAAGCTCACCTTACTGGAGGCTACTGAAGCTGGATGGATCTGCCCTGGAGATGCTGACAGCAGCCACACCGCCCAGGCGGAGGAGGGTACAGGGTGTGCAAGCTAAAAGATGGACCCCCAGGACCTCTGGTGGAAAAAGTCTTGGAAGAAAAAAACCAAAAGATTAGAACTTAAAGATTAACTGAAAACAAGATTTAAGGCTTGATGCCAGCAAAGAACCACTTTTTAAGCACGACTGATACAAATTCCTGTACCTTCAGTAGATATTTAATGTCATAATCAAATATAATATTAAATGATATATGGTATAATGATCAACAAGCACATGCTGTCACTTTGGGAGCATCACCACAGTTCTGTCAATATTGGCAATAATAGCTAACTCCACACTGACAGTGTCACCTCCGGACTCTCTGCTAAGCGACCTATGGACACTGGCTGGATCTGCACTGTCACTGAAAGCAGAGGTTCTCTGTACTTTGCAGTTTTTACTTTGCAGTTAATTCAGGGGTTATTTTTCTTCTGCTTTACGCTTTTTAGTCAATATAATCCTTAAAATTCATTCACAGTGGTCGCAAAGAAAAAACACTTTAAAAGTTTTGGACTCAAATGTTCCCTTCAGACCAACTAACCTGCAACATTGGTCTGTGTTTGCAATCCTGTAAGCCTCGGTATATTTGTTTATTATTCAATACATGTATGCAACTCAATCAAAGTTGAGTTGATATCAAACATTGGATAAAGACATTGGAATTTTTCAGTAAGACTGAATTATGCAGCCAAAAGTAATAAATTACTTCAGAGGTTTTCAGTATTTGACTCACCGTAGACAACAAATATATTTAGGTACATTTATGTAAAGACACTTGATTTTTCCAGCTGTAAAGAAACTTAAAATAAAAACATGCTGTTAAGTAGACTGTTTCAGTCCAGACTGTGCCATTTTTTTCAGCCTCACTTTTGACGTAAACACAGTGTGAAAATCATACAGCAAGGTTATTATTAATCATGAGAAAAATATAAAATTTCAATAGAAAATCTGGGAAATTAATATTAATAATGCAAAAGTCAAAATCAACTTTAACTCTGAGTATTGTTTTTTTAACCACATTAATGAAACTCAGACTGCAAGAAATGCATGATGATGATCAGCTCTAGCCAGACCTGTACAAAAGCATGCTGCTTTAACAGCGATAATTCATCTTTAAATATTTAGATTATCGACAGTTATGTAGTTATCATAGAAGCACACTAATGCAAACTATGACGTGGGTGTGGGTTCAAGTTATACCAGATTTCAGTCGAAGATCCTCATTTTTCTCTGTGCTCTTCTTCGTCTTCTCAGGACTGACTGATCTACTTCTGCGTAATCTCGATCTGAACGCTTTTTCACCTCTCTCTCTCTCTCTCTCTCTCTCTCTCTCTCGCTGACTCCCACTCGTTCTCTCCTCCTCTCTGCAGCTCAACTACCGCTAACAGAATTTAAATAAGAGGAAATGTGGCACTATAAACAGTTTCGTTAAAAAGTAACAGTGCATGAGGTGTTTACATACATATTGACTGTGCAAAAGAACAGCCCTGAAAAAACAAAAACTAATAAACACACAGTTTGCATTCTACGTTAAAACCTGAAAGTTGCAGAAAATGATCTGAAAACCAGGACCGTGTCCTTGCTCAGGTGCTAAACCTGCACGTATCTGTATTTTTAGCACAGCAATGCACAAAACCACGTAGCCCTGTCACACTGCAGCTCAGCGTTGCAAATAGTAAAAGTGAAAGTAGGTCTGTTGGCAACTCGTAAAAACAAAAACAAATGCTCTTTAGGCTATGTCCCAAAAAACAGATGTCATAAGCATATAACCACTTAATAGGATGTGTAAGCACATTAAATACTTGGAGTGCTTTCTTATTTTCACCAGTCAGATTAGTCCAGTCAGCACCATAACGTAGTTCAGATTATGTAAAATGCATATTTCTCACCTTATTTACATTCAATATAGCATTAGCGTCAGAATTCAAAATCCATAATTCACAAGCTGTTTGCTAAAACTTTCTGTCTGCTGGGAAGGAGGACACAGTTTGAAAAGAGCTGCCTGCTGTGACTGGAAATAAGGTTTTCAGAGTAGCACAACATGTGATTGGCAGAAAGAATCTAAAAACCTAAGATGGAGTTGAGAAAAGTGCAGATATTCTTTTACTCTGTACCACTGGAAGTGCAGATGGCTTTAGTAACTGGGAACATCTTATATGCTTTGCGGTTTTTAAATAGAAGTTTTTATTTCTCCTCGTTGAGCAGAGGCTGTTTACACTGGTTGCCAGTGAAAGCCATAAAGAACCGTTCACAGAGAGCATCTTTAGAGGCATGTTACATTTCTTTCACAACAGATTGCCTGTTTGAAAATTATAACCAAAGATGCTTGAGGATTTGACTTCTGCTTAACTCAGCAACCTTGGAAAGACTGTTTGGCATTGCTGATTAAAAAGAAAAAGAAAAGTCAGCATTATGTGACGGTGGCTGAACTTTAATCTCAGTGTGCAGGACTTCTGTCTTCTTCTCTGTTTGCACTAATGCAACATAACAACATGCCAGAGTGATCACGGTAGCAGGACCGCTGGAAATCAGGATGTTGGTTTCTGTTGAGCAACGGCATTTTGTAAAACCCGTTCTTGCGCCAGTCTGGCTTGGCCCAGAGCATCTGTGCCCGCATGAGACATGCTTTTCGATTGCCTCTTGTCTCTTATCTTGATTTTGAGTGAGTTGTGCAAGTTTTGCTAACATCCCAGACAGCAGTGTTTCTCAGAGAGTCGGATTTGATCTCAGACAGTTGCTTTTTTTTTTTTTGCGTTTGTTTTGAAAAAACTAAATAATACTATATGTTTTGTGACTTGAATCCATCATGTTGGACTGCAGCTGATAGTGGTCCTTGTTCTGCTCTGCTGCTTTGATGAGCTCAGCAAACTGGCAACACCTGCTGCAGGTTCAGATTAGATTAGAACTGCAGATCAAGGACAAGATAGACTGCAGAATAAAGGACTCGTGACAGTTGACTGACATTAAGAATTGACAAAATGGTAATCTGGGCAGGCTGCCACCAGGACAGTAGGAAAACCACCAGACTTTAAGGACTTGAGGAATCTGATTAGCTACAACCAAACCTTCAAAGTGAAAGCTTTGCCAAAACTACACCGACTGCATTATCAAATCTGATGATGAAAACAAAATCGTTAAATATTGTTAAGTACATGTCCATGTAAAGTCTGGTGGAAGAAGATGGATGTTTTGATGTTTCATTTGCTTTGCAGCCATCATGTAGCTTGTAGCTCTATCGTGGATTGGCTGCTCAGACTAGTCTATTGTTTCTGAGTGTTACCACATAGTTTAAAGGATCAGCCTGTCTTCCAAGTCCCACCAAATCAGTTATGGCCTAACAAGTAAAACCTGTGGATGTTTTACAAGGGTGCACAAGAAATGCATTTCTGCAAAGGACAATCTGATCTACAGAGAGAATCACCGGCACTGGTCTTCCATCCATCCAGAACCTGTACATTTCAGGGTTAGGAAACAGACATCTCTGCAGAGTCCTTACATCCCAGACATAAACTATTTAACCCTGCTGCCCTCAGGCAGGCGCTACAGAGCACTGTTTACTAAAACCAGCCATCACAGAGATGGTTTCCTCCCTCAGGGTGTCTCTCTGATGAACACTGTGAAATAACCCACTGCTCTATCATTCAGGTCATATGTACAGTGCACTTCTTAGTTTTGCACATATAGTTTCTTAAGACTTTCTGCAATTTGTCTTTTCTTAATAAAACCTTTCTTTTTTTGAACTGGAACTGAAGTTAGATTTTTTGTTTGTGTGCACAAACTTGGCCAAATAAAGACAATTCTGATTATCTTTAATGTCTGGTTGCTACAGAGGCTGTATTTATTTCTTGTCACACAATAGCTGCCTTGGCAGATTTGGATTTGAACGCTTCTTTGCTTTAGCAATCTTACTCTCACTATTCCCTTACGTTGTGAACCCCATTTTAGACAGTGTTTGTAGGTTTACCACAAATTTGAAGTTGTATTGTTTCAGTCTCATCATTTAGCATGTTGTGACTGTAAGTACACATGATCAGCTGGGTAACTCTCATGTGCTAGTGTGAAGGTGGAATTCAGAAACTTGAAAGCAGCAAGGCTGACAAGTCTGTACAGTTCAGAAAAGGCTACGAAAACAAAGAAGAAACATCTTGTTTATGTTGGGCATTAAACATACAGCCCATAGCTTTTTATTCTTTTCCCTCTGCTGCATGCACTTGGCCTGTTTCCAGGTGTTGAACAAGTTGAGAACAGAGAGGGTGTTGAAACTGCTCCGAACTACTTAGTGAAGTGATTGCTGGCATCTGAAATCTGCATTTGCACACTCTGAAACCTTGTACCCCACTCATTATATTCGCAGAATCAAAGTTCAGAGTGGGATGGAAGAGACCCATGATTGAAGTCCATCAGGGTCAGTTTGCTGGGTTTGCACTGGCTCAGAGCGGCCATCAGTCTAGGCGAAAGGTAATGACAATGCTGCAAAACAGTCATTGAACAGCAAAGTAGTTGCTCTGCAGACCTTACTGTGTCTATTGTTCATCTACATCTACCTTGGTATTATCTTTGACTTTGTACAATTTTATTCAATTGTACAGAGATTTATGTCACATTCATTTTCTGCGTGTGGGGGAAAAAAGAAAGTAGACCGCCATCAACACATCTATTTCAGGATCTCTCAGTCTGTGGAGAAAGAGAAAGGAGAAAAGGGCTTTTGTGTGTTGCAGGTGTGTAAAATCTAACATGCGTTGACGTTAACATGATTAGTAGCTACTGTCATACAAATATGTGACCAAAATGAAACTGGGGCATCTGATGACGTTTGTTTTTGATGGACCAGGCGGCTATGAACCGGCTCTAAATTCCTATCAAGCATTCCTTCTTTTTGTTGGACATGTTTATTGTGACAAAGTCACGCATACGTTACTTTCTGCAGGAAGCACCCACAAGAACACCAGATGTACACCAGCTATTTAATGAATGCAAATGTAAAATTTGACACCTTTTGTTGTGTTTGTAATACATTTTTTCTGATAATAAATAGTTTAGATCAGGGGTGGGCAACTCCAGGTCTCGAGGACCAGTGTCCTGCAGGTTTTAGATGTGTCCTTGATCCAACACAGCTGATTTAAATGGCTGAACGACCTCTTCAACATGTCTTGAAGGTCTCCAGAGGCCTGGTAATGAACTAATCGTTTGATTTCGGTGTGTTGACCCAGGGTGAGATCTAAAACCTGCAGGACACCGGCCCTCGACGCCTGGAGTTGCCCATCCCTGGTTTAGATGATGCAGAACAAAATTCAGCAAACTCTAAATAGGTTAAAAAAATATTTAGAAATTCCAGTAGAAGTTTAAAAGCATAACTTTTCAACTTTTCAAATTCTCACTCAATAATGTAAAATGTAATAGTAATAATGTAATGCCTTATCAAAAAGTTAACTAGCTGATAGTTATACTGAAGAAAGACGGAAGTACTGATGCTGATTGTCGACCTTAAGCAAACAACATCTATGCAGACATCTATGTAGACAGTGATGTACAGAACTCTGACTAAACCTGTCATTGTGTTTGAGAAAACAGCGACAGTGGTATTCAAGTGCAACAGGAATGCAGGGCTATGCAGGAAGGGTAGAAGGACAGATGATTGTCAAAACCTTTTCCATTCCTTTGTTTGTTGTTTTGGATTTCTCAAGCTATTTAGGTTGATCTGCATTTACAGGCAGGCATTTGTTTGTTGGCAAAGAGCAAAGTCGTAAAGCACCAATCATTTCTTTAGTGTCTGTCTTGCTAAAATTTTATTTAAAATATTTCCCAACAGTGATTTGGTCTGGACACCGTTCCCTAACATTCACGGTACATTCTTTAGTGCTCCTTTAATGTGGTTTGTTGTTTAAAGATGATGATGTGTATCATTAAATGGAAAGTTAATGGTGATTGTTATACTGAATAGAGTCTGGGAGAGGTTTATGTACTTATGTTCCTTGGAAGGAACAAAGAGGTGACCTTTTGATGCCAAAGCCAACTTTTTGTGTCATGTTTGTTTGTCTAGTTATTGAAGATGAACATTCATGGTCTTGTGCCCTGACATACACAGGAAACAAAGTGAAGGAAACTTCTTCTAGAAACTTTTAATTAAATTAGACTTTTGCAATCCAGCTGTTGAAAGACAAACTTTTCTTTATAATCAAAATGCAATGAAACCTTAATCACAGGTTAATCCAAGGTTTCAATTTTCTTCCAGGTCTAATGAAAATACTGTTTTGGTTTGTGGTCATTTTCACCAATTGTTTCTTTAACTAAGTCTACCTTCTGTTGGAACAAGAAAGTTGAATTATTTAAAAAATAACCTACATTACATCTGTATCAGTTTTTAAAGTGTTCTTGTAGGAATTGGTCTCTACCTACAAACAGCGTAAATATTCTTGCAGGAAAATGAGAAATATGTCATCCTGTTATTATTATTATTATTATAAAGTCCACTAACGTTTATACTTTTCTTTTCAGTAAAATTAAAGAACTAAAGCAGTGTTACATATTCTTTTCCGTGGTTTTCTTTTAATCCACTGCGCGTTCCAGTGGAAAGTACAACTATATCAAAAAAATTTTTTAAATGGTGAACCGGTGTGTCCGGATTGTCCTGTCAGGTGATCGCTTGTGTAAAAGGGCTTAAAAGAGCTGCGGAAAGCAAACATCACCTGTGCCTGCACAACATTGAACTCAGAGCTTTCTTATCTTCAAACACAAAAGGTAAGGCATTTTATTTTATTTTGCTTATATCCTCATAAGGTCATTTTCATGCATTAATGATGCAATTAATGACGTGAAAAGTGTATGATTTTAATTTGAAAAAGTATTGTGTGTCATCAGTCTGTTAGAGTTTTGGGTTGGCATGTGGTTTCTGAATTGTGTAAAAGTTTCCAGTGCAGTGATGTATGCTGTCATAGCTGTAGCAGTGTGCGGTTAGATAACTGAGCACTGAAACTTTTATTCCTTTGCAGCCATATTAAATATGTGTACAGTTATTCACTGGCCACTTCATTAAGTACACCTGCCTAGTACTGGATTTGACCCACCTTTATTTTTACAACTGCCTACAGTCTTTATGGCACCGATTCAACAAGGTGTTGGCAACATTTCTCAGATATTTTGGTTCATATTGACATGATAGCATCACCGAGCTGCTGCAGATTTGTCAGCTGCACATTCATGATAGGACTCTTCTGTTCTACCAGATCCTAAAGATGCTGTGTTGCATTGAGATCTGGTTGCTGTGGATAGCATTTGGGTGGAGGGAACTCATTGAGAAGTTCTAGAAACGAGTTTGAGATGATTAGAAATTCGTGACATGGTGCGTTATCTTGCTAGAAACAGCCATCAGAGGACGGGCGCACTGTGGTCATAAAGGGATGGACATGGTCAGCACTCAGCTAGGCTGTAGTGGTTAACCCTTTCATACATGAACTATGACAACCACAATTAGGATTTTTTTCTTAAGTATTCTTATTCATCTTTAGGCATTAAAAAACAATTTTTGAGCTTCACTTTTTTAAACACGTACTTAAGTACACTTTGACAACACTGACTGACCAGTGGATGGCAGGATATGGAGTGACAAATCAGTGTCCAATTTAGTGGTTTATGTGCCATTTATGTATACCATCAACACTGACACAAATACAAGAAAACAGCCTTTGAATAACTGTCCACTGCAGTGACCACTATGCATGAAAGGGTTAAATGATGCCCAGTTGGTACTAAGGGATGCAAAATGTGCCAAGAAAATATCCCCCAGACCATCACAGCACCAGCAGCCTGAACCATTGGCACAATGGTTTTCTTTCACTTTCTTTATGCCAGATTCTGATCATACCATCTGAATTCCTCAGCAAAAATTACGACTCATCAGACCAGGCAACATTTTTCCAATCTTCTATCATCCTGTTTCGATATGCCGGCTTTTTGCTGATACGGGTGGCAGCTAGTGTGGTCTCCTTGCTGTTGTAGCCCATCTGCTTATAGGTTCGACATTTTGTGTATTCAGAGATCCTCTTTTACATAGTTTTAGTTGTAATAAGTGGTTATTTGACTTACTGTTGCTTTTTTAATCAACTCAAAGCAGTCTGGCCTTTCTCCTCTGAACTCTGATATCAACAAGGCATTTTCATCCAGATAACTGCTGCTCACTAGATATTTTCTCTCCAACCCAGCAGATCGGCAGTTTCTGAAACACTCCGGCTGTGTCGCACTGCTGGCACGGTCTCTGCGCAGAAAAAATCTGCGTTGCGCACAAAAAAAAATCTAACCTGAATTGAAATTAAAATAAATATGTTAATAATTCTGTTTTCCAGTGTTATTCAGTAAGTGACTGGCTGCTCCAGTATGGGATTAGAACGATGCCACCTTATCCCATAGTCCTGCCAATAATGTGATTGACATTCGTATATACGCAGCTAATCAACGTCATTGACAGGCTATGACAGCGTCCTTATGTGCCGACACTGGTGTTTTAGCTAGCAAAGCGGCGTGGCTGATGTAGAGTGAAGCCACGTTAATGACAACGTGTACAACCATTGGAGATGTGAGCAGGACAGACGGAACAACTGACGGGAAAAGTGTGGACTTTATACCAGTTTTTAAATTGTGTTGATCGGCCACGTAAAAACCAGAGTTACGATAAAAATATCTGCAATGTTTGGTTCTCTTCCTGAATACTATGGTTGTTTATATTTACTGCTGGAAGAAAACGCTAGAAAGCCTGTGAGCAAAACCAAAACCAAAACACCCCTCACCCTTTCCCATTGGTCGAAAAATGTACCATGTCGACTAATCAAAAAATGATATGGCAACATGACATTTAGTTGTTTAGGAAGGGGGAAGTTTTAGGAGTGACGGCGGTGTTTTGAGATGTGAGAGATTTGCGACGTTTAGCGCAAATCTTGTGTAGTTAGTGTGTAGTGTAGTCAATAGTTTTGTTGTGTGTGTCAGAACAATGAGGCGACTGCTGAATGTTACAGGTGTTACAGCAGTGATACATCTCCTGTTGTCAGGCCTGCAGGTATCAGGCTGTTGTTCTCCTTTATCTCATAGTGGACAGAAATTATTTTTTGGAGTGGCACAAATAATTTGTGTGGCATCAAATTTGATGCAGAACAGCTGATTGTTCTGTAAATAGTTTGAAATGTTTATTTAAAAAAAACGCCTTGGCTGCATTTTTAGGTAAACAGCTGCAAAAAACTTTGTTGTTTGCAAAACTCAGTTACTTTTTTGAAGAAGTAACTATATAATTAATTGCCCAACATTGGTCATTATATACTGTATTTTGCAGACAGAGAGTTACAGACTCTCTCCCAGACCACAGACTCATAATACAAGTCAGAGCTTTATAAAAAAAAAAAAGTTGTGTTTTCAAAATTGGAGTTCAAGTTATTTTTACTTCCAATAGTGTTAACATGCTACACAGGTCATGAACAAGATTTTTTTAATTTTCATTGTAAGTGGGCTAAAGCAGTTAATTAAAAGTAGTCTAACATAAATGTAAATGCTGTAATTTGATTATTTTAATAAACCATGTAACTTGGATGGATTCGATGCTGGCGTGACCACAGTGCACAAGTCTGCTGTTGCTCACAGTGGTCCACGAGATTGCTCAGGGAGTTTGTGCGTTCGCTCAGACACATGAAAAATTAGAGGGAACATTGGTGCAAAGCCTCACAGATGATGTGCAGCAGTGGGTCCCTCAGTCTGTCCTCACTCTGGACACTTGCAGTTGTCACACATGGAAATCAAATGTGTGATAAGCTGCAGGATTCAAACACAAGTGTAACTTATAAACACATGTTCATACTTTTATTACACAATCAGAGAGAAAGAAAAAGAGAGAGAGTGCAGGACAGACAGGTGACAGTCTCAGGTGTACACACTGCTACACAACAGCACAAGAGAAGGAGGATTTAGTGTTTGTGTTATTATGAAACAAGAAGAGTTCCCAGATGGTACAGTGGACACATGTGTGACTCCTGTGATTAAAGCATCTTTCTTTCAGCTTAACGAGTGAACCGTCAGCTCGTTCAAACACACGTTAAAGTCCGTTTGGCTCGACACCACCGAACAGAGGCAGCAATATAACATAGCTGACTTTAATTATCCATGAAATCATCACATTCTCTGTAGGATTAATGTCAACTACTGAACAGCGTATATTATAGAGTAAAGGCTTTAAAACCAAGTTAGTACAAACGTCACTAATGTCACATAACTTTACCGATATGTGGCCAACAGTAATGTTTTAATGTTCTTCATTATTAAACATTTGCACATAAATAAGTGACATAATATTCAGTACTTACTTTTGAAGGTTTATTTTTCGGCCGTTCCGCTTCAGCCGTCTGCCATATTTTTCGGCAAAATTATCCACACCATTCGCCGCGCTATGAATATTTCATTTGAGCAAACAAAATTTCTGTTTTTAAATTTGCCATTGTGATTATCTGTATAAGTGAAATATCTGATTATATTGTCAAGTTTTGAATGCACTGGTTAGGTGTGGTTAATAAAGGGTTGTGGCTGCTCTCTTCCACAACAGCCTTTTGTAGTGCTTAACCTTGTGATCTTATGAACTTTCAACCTGGTTCCTCCTTTAGACTCCATCATGACTGATACGATGGTCGTCACGCAGCCTCAGCCTGTGATATATGTTCAAGGGTCGGATGAATGGTCATCTGGGTTATTTGACTTCTGTGAAAATGTGCCAGAGTGTAAGTGTCTCTGATTTATATCTATACTACAGCAAGTACTAATTCACTGCCAATGCACTGTGCTTATCATTTCTCCTTTTTAAGGCCTTTTTGCTTACTTTTGCTTACCCTGCTTCGCCTGTAAAACTTCGAGAGACTACGGGGAAAATCTCTGTCTCCCTCTGGCCGACTGGGTGAGCGGCATGATCCCGCCGGCCACCATGTCCATGAGGGTCTCCATGCGACACCGCTATGGCATCACCGTAAGGCCAAAATTTGATTTTCTTTTTAATGTATCTATATTTCACTCACTTAGCCTTCAGCCACTCTGTTGCACTAATACTTTTGAGAGGAGTTTGTTTCAACTTTTTAAAAGTTGCTTTTATTTGTGTTAACTATTTCTTTGCCTACTGACAACCTTAAAACGTGCAGCCTTGTAAAACAACCTTTATAACATGACCAAATTATAACAAAAGAAAGATTGTATATCACCATATTTCAGATTTTTAAAGGAAGAAACTGTATTTTCTTAAATCATTCTGTGTCTGAATAATTTTTATAGATCAACATGTATTCTGTCAACATTATGCAATCTGCTCTTTATCTATAAAACTGTGCTTAAGACTATTTCTTACCTAAGCCATTGGGGTCTTTCACCTCTTACATATTAACATAAAAAACTGGTCTGGTTAGCCACTTGCTGACCAAACGTCACTGTGTTTTGTTTTTAGGGCACCATGTGTAATGACTGTGTGCTTTCGACATTCTGTATGTCCTGCGTCTGGTGTCAGATGTCCAGAGAGATGAAGAAACGAGCGCTCCCAGTCGTTATGGTTGCTACTAAAAACGTGTAACCTCTTCCTTCTTCATCATGTCTGGGGCCACCATCCTCATGGAGTCTTAGCAGCACAATACACTTTAAACAGAAATCCAACTGTAGCCATCCAAGCTTATTGAAGTTAGGAAACTGAAATGAAGTAAAAGAAAAACTGTTTTTAATGTAATTAAACTATCATTAACTATCTAAAATAGTGCTTTTTAAATTTTATTTTACATTTTTCCCTTTGAGAACAAAAATTCTTCACTGAGAGGTTTATAATGACCACTTATTAACCAAAGAATACCAAAAGTGTGTTTTTGTGTAATCTCACATACTTTAGTCAGGTTTGTATTTTATTTTTATCTGGCATAATGAAAATTTTAAACAGATAAACTTAAATGACATAAAAATCCAAACACTGTTCTTTCATTTTTTGTCAATAAAATTAAGTGAAAGGCACATGACTCTTATTTTTCTGTGTTCATACAGCACGCTGTTAACAGATGGTAAACATACAAGTGTATGAAAGTGAATTTCAAAAATACATAAAAGAAAAAGGGTTTGGTGCTTTAAAAGTGTAACACCTCAGAACACAACACTGGATGCCACTTCTTTTATTGTTTTCTTCTTTTTTTAATAATTAATTTTGATTATGTAGTAGTAGCAAAAGTAGTAATGGCAGAAATTAGTTGGGTGCCAGTCCTTCAAACTAGCATGTGCTAGTTTACTGATATTGATATTTTTGGTAAATTCAGCTGTTTTCTGTTTGAAGGAAGCTGACATTTTATCAGTGATGTATGATCCTGACAGAAGGTTCTTCCACAGTGCGATGTTTTTTTTTTTTTTAAAATCCTGTCCCTTCTGGCAGGTTTCAGGTTTCAATCAGAATTATAACAAAAGGATAGAGCACAGATGGAAAAGCACAATGTATCACAAACTGATGCACCTGTAAGAAAAAACAAAGGGAAAAAAACTGTTCATTCAGTATATGAGGACATGCATTGATGTATATAAGATGCAGAGAGTATTGTAGTCTCTTATGTTATGTAGCGCAGTTTCTGATACTATAATCAATTTTAACTGTAAGTTCTTAAGAGACTATGAGCTGTCAATGTCACACATCAGGAGTCAATTCTGAAAATTGATAAAGTGTTTAAAATGTAAAGTGTGTGTGTGTGTGTGTGTGTTTCTATTAAGGATTTCACTCACTCTTTGAACGAATATCAAAGTCTTGGCCGTTTAACAGAGATGTGTTACAGCGCCATCTGGTGGTTGACTTTCATTGGAGATTTTTTTCCCTTTAATTTAGCTTGAGGCAGGTGCATGGTTGCTGATTGTTCTTGAGAGGATTTGTGTCTCTGATATATCTGGGGAAGTTAAAAGATGATGAGTTTCTTGATCGCCTCCATCTATAGCAAAGAGCAAAGTACATACTGTAATCTTGCATGTAGTGTTTTCAATTTTCAGTGCCAGGACTATCCATTATGGGGTCCAGCAGAGCATTAAAGTCACCTATTGTCATTTTTGAGCTATAAATATACTTGTAAGTGATTCTTTGGCATGATTTATTTGGTCTTCTGGTTATTATCTTTTATTCATTTTTGATGCCTGCCTGTCTCCAGTCCTTCATTCATTTAATTTTCATTCCTTGTGCTGTTTTATATGTGAATGGTTGTCTGTCTCTCTGTGGTAGACAGACTGATGGCCTGTCCAGGGTGTACCCTGGTTCTCACTCCATGGCAGCTGAGATAGGCACCAGCACCCCCGCGATGCTGAATTGGAAAAGTAGGTTATTTGGAGTGCGGCATCATGTCTAGTATTTCTGACCCTAAAAGTCTTATTGATGATTTCAGTATACATGCAACAGCTGTTTGTATTGTAAGTTAGAAGGGGAGAATATCAGAATGCCATCTTATGCTAACTATGACCCAGTGGAACCCCATTTCCACTTAACAGAAACTGTACTCATACTCATACGTCAGGATTGTTAGATGTTCAGTTTAATGTATGGACTTGAAATTCACTTTAAAGTGAGTTTGTTTTACTTCATGCCATCCAGATTTCATAAAATTTCATTTTCAGGTTTAAAATGAAATGCAGTGTGGTCATATTTTTATGGAAGAAACTGGAGTTTTGGTAAAGCCACAAATCCAGTCAACACTGTCTAAGGAGCTTGGGTACAAAGCAACTGGACTTCTTCAGAATATTTTTCACGTCTCATCTAAGAAGGTTCTTCAGTTCTAAAAGCAAATAGTCCCAGGTATTTTAAACCTAGTGCTAGGGGGGTGTCCCCCTACTAGAGGATTGTTGACCCATTATTAATAATATGCCTAATCAAATGAACCAAGATTATCATCAGAGGTTTCATGTGAAACCACTGTGAAACTTTGACTCACCCTATCATTTGACCTATTGAGGTCCCCTGAGGCAAGATGTGAGTTGGTGTTGAGGCACCTGGGAAGAGACATCAAGATTGCATTGTAGGTAGCAGACAGTTGGTGTCGTAAGCCACCCAGTCTGACTGCCGTTCACAGTGCACGTAGACGGCTTCTTTCACTCCTCTTTCAAGCCACCTGTCTTCTCATTCCAAAATGTGAACACTGGCTTCCTCGAAAGAGTGACCTTTATGTGGTACTGTACACAGACATCCAGTCATCACAAAAACGCACTTATGTGAGTGGAGAGTTCTGTAGATAACCTACTAACAATGCACTGATCTACAAAGAAAGATGCAGTCAGTTCATTCCAGTAACAATCATTCCAGCAAGAGCAGCACAAATATTAGGTCATAACAAACGGCTTCGATGCAGGTATCCCACCAATCTACTTACCAAATAGCACAAGTTTTATGTTCCTAACCGAATTGATATGTTTTTTTTAAACGTTTTTGCAGCTGTTCTCTGGACAAAACTGATAGGGACTCATCCTCCCTTAATACAAATTGTGCCAAGGTGTGATGTCGCAATCTGAAAACAGCTGATCTATCTGGCATAAGGAAGAAACCACACAGCTTATCATCATATCTTGACGCAAACATGTTTGATTAAAGTTACCGTTCTATCGTGTGCCACGTGAGTACCTCGGAGGTTGTAGTTACTTATTAAAGTAAATATTACTCAGACACACTTCAGATCGAAGCCTGAGTATTTGCTGCATTTTGAGAGACATTGCTACTTGGTTTGAAACAGATGGATGAGAAAACCAGTCTGTCATGTTTTAATTCTTTACTAATCTTTGTGTGGAAATGGGGTTAAAACCCGAAATGCCAGATTTCAGTCAGCTTCCTGGAAAACACAAGATGTCTGCCTGCACAGGTTTAACAACTCTGTGACAGGCCCAGGGGCAGATGTTTCGCTGTCTTTTTTTCATCTACCACCAAAGTAAACAAGAGTACATAGCTAAGTCTCTCTTTCTCTCTCACACATACATGCACACAGTTCATGCTAAGATGATAGTGAATAGTAATAATCAACTATATTAATAACATGATTCCAGCTTTTGATCAACACCAGTGGTGGATCTGCCAATTCTGGTATTCTATGGCAAATGCCAACTGGGCTCCATGGTGCTAGGCAGTGAGCACAGGGCCAAGTAGAAGATGTTCGGCCCTCAAGCCACCCTCACAAAGTCTGCGTCTTACTGTTTGGTCAGAGACATTTACACCAGTGGTCATTTAGTAACTCTGGTAATGTTCCTGTTCCTACTTGGACAAAGGAGCAGATACCAGTCCTGCTGATGGGTTAAGGGCCTTCTACGGCCCAGTCTAGCTCTCCTACTGTAGCTATTTGTCCGTGCTGGGAGGCACAGCAAACCTTCTGGCAATGGCATGTATTTATGTGCCATCCTGGAGGAGTTGGATTCCCTGTGCAACCTCTGTCGTATCTAAGTATCATCTCATGTTACAAGTAGTGACACTGACCCTAGCCAAATGCAAAATTAGTGAAAAAACAATCAGTAAAGATGAAAAACCATTCCTGTTTTGGGGGTTGTATCCTCTAGTGCACCTGCTATTAACTTCATCAGCACCAGAGCAGCTGGAACTGATTAACGACCCCCTCTGCTACTTAGCCGACCAAATCAATATCCCAGAAGTTTAGAAGTGTCTCTTGAATTTTTTTGAGCAGTATATTTCCTCTGACATCAAACCTTTTCATAAATTTTTAATCCACTCTTTTAATCATTTGAGTATAAAATGACTGAGAAAATACAGAACAAGTTTATTTGACCACCACCAAATATAAGGTTTATGTCACAGCTGCCCTACATTAACAGTATTGATCATTACCAAAATATTTCTCATATTTCATTGAAGGTTAATTTACCAGTATGGACAATTATATTTGTAATTCTAAAATGTAATCATTATTGTTATTGATGACTTTTCATAACTACTTTTTTACAAAAAAGCAGACAAAAAGAAAAAGCACATTATTATTTTAAGGTGCCAAATTACAGTTGAAATCCTAACAGAAAAAATTGTTTTAGTTTTTGACTTCCCAGATAAGTCTAATGTTCCGGCTCACATTTGAGTATAAAAACGTGAATTCAGTTAGTTATCTGCCTAATAAATACCATTAAAGTTATTTAGCTTTAAACTGGTTTTTGACATAAAATTTCTGAAATATTTGTGTTTTTTATGTTACGCTTCATGTTCCCAGAGCTACAGTTCAGTACTGCATAAATGCTTTCTTTACGAGCTAAAGCCACGACATAAGTATCCGGGTGATGGACCTCATTAGGTAACCTATTGTTGGTCATTCTGACTGGGCTCCTTCTACCGGTCCCCCCAGTCCAGCCGCCCAGTCAGATGTTACGCCCTTGGCGCCTGTCATAACCCATATAAGGCATCTTATATTAAGATCCTCTTCCCGCCTCCTTCACAGCGATGCTCATCGCTGTTTCATCAGAATGTCAGTGTTACTGAAAATCAGAAAGATGTGGAGCTCTGATTCCAAAGGTTTCGGTGAGGACAGAGCCAACGCTTTGGCGTCACGCCCGCAACTTTGACTCATCCACGCACGCCAGTTCCTCACTTCATCTCACAATAGCACATTCCAAATGCATGACCACTCCTAATGGAAATCATAACAGTCACATAAAGGAACATAAAACATCTATTGTTACTGTTGTTGTTTTTTCGGTGTTAATTACAGTGAATTGCCTGGCGCGAACTTTGGGTTAGGGCAACTTGACCTGTCGTTTTTCTGCCCACAGCTTTTTAGTTCAGAGGGCACGAGGTCACTAGAGAAAGCAAACAACAACAACAACAACAACAAAACAAACAAACAAACAAACAACCCCAACACGCTCACTTTAAAGAAAAAACACACACACTTGAGACATGTGAATATGAAATACATGCATATGAATAGAGAAAGCTTCCGTTCCGTCAGTAATGGGAGTCCTCAGTATGCAGCAATACCACATATATTTCCCCGGTGAAGTGAAAGCAGTGTGGGATCATTTTTTTCCGCATTAGACAATGACCTTTCCAGTTGCCGCACCTTCACTTCAATATTAACACAAAGTTGCGGAGTGAACCGGTGCGTCCGGATTCTTCTGTCAGGTGATCTCATGTTTTCTAAAAGGATTTAAGACATGAGAGCTTCTCGGAGCTTTCAGAGATCAGCTGTGACCGAACATCCACCTCAGAGCTTTCTAATCGTCAAACACAAAAGGTAAGACATTTTATTTATTCGTTTAGTTTCGTTCCCATCCACATGAGCTCAGACTTTATATATTAACCACAGTAAAATTATAAATATAACGAGCAGCAGTTTACTGTTTTAATTTAAGAAAGTAATGATATTATAGGCCTATTAATAACCAACATGTAACAATTTAAAAGCAGAGGAGCTCTTTAATGGTTATTGAGAAAGGCTGGAAGTGTAGTGAACATTTACCAGCTTTCCTGAATCACACACCTGATTGTAAGAGGACTTGCAGTTGGAATTTTTCACCTTGCTCTTTCTTTTAGGCGCCATCATGACTTCTAAAATGGTTGTTCGGCAACCTCAGCCTATGATGTATACCCAAGAGTCTGATGAGTGGTCAAGTGGGATCTGTGACTGCTGTCAAGATGTGCCAGGGTGTAAGAGTCTTTTAATTATCTTCAAAGTTTATAGAGGACTTTTGCTCTGCAGTGATCGTCACACATGTGACAAAGGAACTTATTTTGCTCACTCAAAGGGAAAATATTTATTCCTAATAATCTAATTTTTAAAACAGTAGGAAACAAAATCAAAACAAACAACAAACAAACAAAAATGCTGTTTTCGTATTTACCTTATCTATAAATAACATAAAAATGAATCAAAGAGTGTTTTTTTGTTTTTTGGACCTGAACCTCATGATGAAATCCAGGAAGCCACACCTACATAAGAATTAAGGTCACGGGTTGTAGTATGTTTTTTTTTTTTAATGTGGTGAGAAAAGCATTGGTCCAAGAAAGAAAAAAAGGATTCATTAACATCCTCATATTTTCATTTGTATTTTCAAACAGGTGGTGTGCGTCATCTGATTGGTTGTTTTAATCAGACAAAAATGACAAAAGATAATTGTACTTCCGTCATACTTAGGTGTTATTTTCAAATTTAACTCATAACTTGTACATACCCACATGCACAACTATAGCACTCACACTTATTTTTTCCAAAGACATAATAACCCCGTTTACACTATTTTCAAAGATCTGATTTGTTTGGCATTCATTTTCATTTCATTCTCTACAAAAGGGAATTTCTATTCTAATAACGATTAGCGTCTCTTAAGAGCACATGCTCGCCTTTTTTTCTTTTCTACATTAACTCACTGTGTCCTTGCATAATTTCAGCATCATAATGATGTTAGATTTTATTTCTTCTGTGTTATGGCCAAACCAAAATGATGACAGGACAACTACAAGACATTTTATTTTCAGTTTAAATCAATAATAATGCTACTTCCTTAAATAGATTTAAATCAGACGTCTTTCTGGCACATTCTACATAAATAGCGCGGCTTATTGTCCTGTTTTCTTTAAGCATTTCAGGATTTTACGTGAGTGTGTGTAGTTGAGTGTTTTTCTGGTTTCGCAGTCCATATCATTTGCTTTTCTCTGTATCTTTGCCTCTTTCAGGCTGTTGTGCTTTCTGGTGCTTGCCCTGCTTTGCCTGCATAACTTCAAGAGATTATGGTGAGCCTCTCTGTCTCCCCCTGCTGGAGATTTTCAGTGGTTTTATCCCGGGAATCACCATGTCCATGAGGGTCAACATGCGACAGCGCTATCGCATCAGGGTAAGGCCAATGTTTTCAGCTTTATACAGTTAGTTCCCGAGATGTTTGGACCAATATAATTAAATACATCAGACCCTGAGCTTTCATTTGAGAGATTCTTTTTCTTTAAGCAGGTAACAGCAGGTGACCTATTAATAGTCATTAAGTCAATGGTAATGGTCTTATAGCTAGAACTGAGCCAAATAAGCAGAGTTTTAGAAACTAGAATATATTTGCTTTCAAATCAAGTCTGAAACCTGCATTTGTCCTTCTAGTATCAGATTTCGGTTTGGGTATGATCTTGAAAAGGTCACCGCTGACCTGGTGCATGTTAATAGGTAAAGCTACAAAAACAAAACAAATCCATCTGACAGATAGCAAGAACATTAGAAGCTGCCAAATAAACAGTTTGCTACGTTCAGAGACAGAAAGAATATACTCAGGAAAATAAACACGCCTAGCTGTCCCCCCAAAAAGACAATAGTGGTGGATGATCGCTGAATCTTTTTGTTGGTAAAGAGAAGCCTCTTCAACAGATCCAGCCTTGTGAAGAGCACTCTCCGGGAGAAAGGCATGTTACACAAGTCTACAGGATTAGATTTCACAAAACCATCTAAAGAGTGTTCACTTAAGGTGCTGAAGACCTAGCATTCACCAAACTACATTTAAAAAACGACATTAAACCAAAATACATAAAAAAAAAAGTCAGCTGTGTCTCAGAGGAAAGATGATTCTGAGCAGAATGACTAGAAAATATAAAGCATGAAATAGTCTCGGAAGAGCTCATGATCCCATTAAACAGCTGGATGTTGAAATGTGCAGAGTTACAAAGTAGATTGGATGGTGCTCAACTCTAAAGATGGGCACTGTTTTTCTTTTTTTTTTTAGGTCAGAAAGTGGAATGTTGTACAATTGCTGGCAAATTCAATGAAACGTTTTGAGTTTTGATGACTTTTGTTGGTCAGTCTGGTAAAGGTAAACAGTGTATTGCATCATAATAATCAGGAACTGTAGAAAACTCACCTTAAGGAACAATAACTCCAAAACCAATTCAACAGAGTGAAAAGTAAAAGGTTAAAAATGCAAGACTTTTCTGTCCAAACTGCTAAAACACAACCAAACTGTAACCGCACATAAAAAAAACCCTGATTCATCTCTTTTCACAGGAAAAATCATTTCCATATTAATGTAAAAACTGATCAGATTGACTGTTTATTAACCAAACGTGTCTGTATTTTATCTGCAGGGCACCATGTGTCGGGATTGTGTGCTTTCGACTTTCTGTTGCGCCTGCAGCTGGTGTCAGATGTCCAGAGAAATGAAGAGTAGGAATGTTTCAGTTGTTATGGTCGGTGCCAAAAACACATAACCTCTTCGCTCTTCATCATCACCACCTGGGCTGCTGGTTACTTAATACAACACCATCTGCGTGGGATGTCAGTAACATTTTACACCGATGACTTCTTTGAGGAAGAGTAGTGTTCACGTCACTGACAGAAACGTGTCTGTAAATATGACTTTATTAAAGGGAGACGGGATCGTGGCTTGCTGACTAAAACATTATAGAACTCTCTTAATAAATTTTAAAAATATATAATGACCTTTGTCTTGAATTTTAATCGTAATTTTTCTTTGTGAGTTTGCTTACATACACAACACTAATGGTTGCATTTAACAAGTCACAATCTACGTTCACAATAAGCACTGGGATTCAAAAATTTGTATAAAAAACTGAAGAATGTATTTTTTTTATCCTGCTTGCAATTAAATAAACAAATAGCACAGAAATAAAAAGAGAGCATGGAGGTTTTATTTATTTATTTGCGTTTATCACCAATAAAAAATAACCGCTGTATGTTAAGAAAGCAGTTAACTCTGTGAATGTCCTCTGCACCTGGGTAAGACTCCACCTCAGGCTAAAGGCACACTGCACAGGAAGGTGAAGCGGGCTCCTTTAAACACTTGTAAAAAAGTGACACGGCCACTAGAGGGAGTCAAACTCTTTACAATGAGTCCAACAGCTCGTTAAGGCTGAGGTCAAAGTGGGTCACACAGGATCAGACTGACTACAGCATCGCCACTCATGTTTCACCTTACAAGCTGTGCCACCTGTGTGTTCAGGAGGAGAAACACGTCATAAAA